CCAAGATACTTGGCCACCCTCATTCCAGCTGCTACCTGCTCCTCATTAGGGCATTGCACAACCCTAGCCAGCTGCCCGGTAGCAAACGCGACGTCCGGTCCGGGTGTTTAACCGCCGCATACATGAGGCTGCCCACCAACGAGTGAAATCGGCGCCTCTCCTCTTCTCCAACGCTCTCCTCCTCTGGCCCCTTCACACACTGAACCCAGAGGGAAAGGGAGTAGCCACATGACCTTCACTCTGGCCGAAGTTGGCAGCCAACGCCTCCAGGTACTTCCGTTGGTGCACTCGCATGCTCCGCTTCTCCACGTCTCGTTCGATATGGAGACCAAGGTAGAAGTTCACGTCACCAAGGGACTTGCACTTGAACTTGTCATGCAGCTTCAGCATCACCTCCTTCACAAGGTCGAGGAGGGTGAGAATATGAGAATGTCATCCACATAAACCACCATGAAGCTCCTCTGCTCCCCCTCGCCAGGCATGAACAAGGAGTGATCGGCCGTTGAGGGAGTGAAAGCCGATCTCCTCCAACACTTCGCGCAGCTTCATGTACCATTGCCTAGGGGCCTGATTCAGCCCATAGAGGCCTTCTTCAGCTTCCACACTCTGCCACTACCATCATCAAACCCCTCTGGCTGCGCCATAAAAATCTCCTCCTCAAGGATGCCGTTAAGGAATGCCGTCACAATGTCCATTTGCTTCACCAGCCTCCTTTGATGGCGGCTCCCGCGAATGGGTCGCAGCGTCGTCGTCTTCACCACAGGGGCAACACAGCTCCTTGAAGTCCACCTTCTCCTTCTGCTGGTACCCCTTGGCTACAGCCTAGACTTGTAACACTCGATCTTGCCGTCGGCATCCGACTTGATTTTGAAGAGCCACTTGGACGTTATCGCCGTACGCCCCTCCGGTAGCTCCACCAATTCAAACGTGTCATTCTCCTCGATGCTCTTCAGCTCACTCTCCATGGCCTTCTTCCACTCCTCAGCATCACTACTCTCCAAGCCTCCTTGAGAGTTGCTGGTTCTCCCGGCATCTCCACCGGAGAGAAGAACGCGAAGGCACACTCCTCGTAGTCACTCTCCTCGTCGTCTCCGACCATCATTGCCCGCTCCGGCCAGGGCTGTCTTGCCTTGCTTTCCAAGTGCATCATAGGTCAGCCTATTAGGGGGTTGAACTCTCCTCTTCCCCCTTCCTTCCTCCTCAGCTGCAGGGACTTGAAGGCCTTGGCGTTGCTGGCGGTGTGGCTCGAATCCGTGGAGCACTCGTGGTACGGGAAGGGAGTGACGGTGCACGCTCGCTCACTTGCTGCACCTCCTCCTCTTCTTCCTCTGCATCATTGGCCTCCTCTCCCCCATTCACAAGGGAGGATTGCCTCGTGGTTGTGCTGCCGCTGCTCAGCTCCAAAGGCAGCTCCACATGCTCCAAACCGGAAACTCTTCACCTCCCCAAACCGCAACGCCTATCTTCGCCTCATTCTCCGCCTTCCAATCCTTGTACATGAAGTTCTCCATGAACTTGCAGTCCCTGCTCACCAAGAACTTCTTGGTGAATGGGTCCCAAAGAAGCCATCCCTTGCTGTTTTGAGCCATGCCCAAGTGCACGGCCCACACCGCCTTGGCACCAAAGCTTGTTGTGCCGAAGATGCTTAGGCACAAGCGCCATGCACATGCACCCGAACACCCGAAGCATATCCACCTTTGGCTTCCTTCCTAGCCACTCCACATAGGGCACCCATTTGTCTGCTCCCACATGAGTCAAGGCTCTGTTCTTGGCCACACACGCGCTCCGCACCGCATCAGGCCAGAAATAGTCGGGTAGCCCGGCTTCAATGAGCAACCCGCGCGCCCGCCTCCGTGATTGTGCGGTTCGCATCGCTCGGCGATGCCGTTCATTGCAGGGGAGTATGGCATGGTGAGGGAGTGCCGAATACCATTCTTCTTCAGCCACAACCCAAACTCCTTGCTCAGGAACTCTCCCCCTCGATCGGTGCGGATTGACTTGACTAGACGGTCTTGTTACCGCTCCACCATCGGGAACCAATCCGCCTTCAACGTTTCACAGCCACGTCACTCTTCTTGGCCAGCACGTACACCCAAGTCATGCGGGTGTAGACGTCAACAATGGTGAGAAAATACTCAGCTCCAGCAGCTCCAAGCTTCAGGGGGCCCACCACGTCCATCACCACCTCATCAAGCGGTGCCTTTGCCGTTGCCTCCGAACTAGAGAACGGAAACCGGGTGAACTTGGCTTGAATGCACGTCGGGCAGCCAAGCACCTCATCGGGCTCCCCCTTCACACGTATACCAGCAACCATCTCATTCTTCACTAGCTGCTGCAAGATAGGCAGGGCCACATGCCCCATGCGCCGATGCAAGGTGAGCCAATCACACTCCCCCGTAGCCGAAGTTGGATTGGAGAATGCCGCGCTCGCAATAGCGCCCCACATACTCTCTCCGTAGTCCTCCTCCGCTGCTGCCTCGGGGTTCTCCTCACCCTTTTGCTGCTCTTTGGCTGCTGCAACCACTCTCCTTAGGTTCACTGAACTTGCTGGTCCCTCCAGGTTTGCTCTTCTTGAGCTCATTCTCCTTAGCGCGACCGTTCGCGGCCATCGTCGCTACCGACCGCATCCATCCTTGGTGCTGATGCTTGCTGCCACTTGCCTCTCCTTAGGCATAGGGACCACTGGAATCTGCCACATCTCGTTGTAGACATCCCTGTCCTCATGAAGGTCCCAGAGAATTCGATCGCCAAGCCTTGCGGTGTAGGTCTTGGCTCCCTTCGAGTTAGTGTCCATGCCGGCCTTTGCCAACCGCCGCACGGAAATCAGGTTTGCAGCAAGGCTGGGCACCCAAAGCACGTTCTTGAGGCCCACCATCTTCCCATCAGCACCCTTGAACATGGCCTTCCCCATGCCTTTCACCTCTGCTCGCTGCCCCAAAGCCGATGTGACATGCTTCACCGGTGACGGCTCGAGTTCGGTGAGCAAGTCCGGGCGAGGTGTCATGCTATAGGTAGCGCCACTATCAATCACCCAGTAGTCCAGGGGGTGTAGGGTCACCTTCCCCACAGCTGCTGGCTCCTCAAAGTCTTCATCCTTCTCTGGACCAGCCGGTGCTTGCGTCGACACGAAGTAGAATAGACCCGGGTATCGATCGTCGCTCGGGTCCTTGTCGTTGTCTCCGCTCTTCATGTTTGCAACTCCGCCACCGCGACCGCCACGGCCTCTACGGCCTCGTCCTCTCCCTCCTCCTGCTCCTCTACCCTCTTGGCCTTGAGCAGGGGTCCAACCATCAGGGAGTTTGTAGCAGTCGCGCCACATGTGTCCGCTCTTGTGGCAATAGTGACACTCGCCGTCGAATCGGCCACGACCGCGTCCGTAGCTCTTGTCATTGCTGCCGTAACCGCCACTCCCGCGGCCTCCGCCGAAGTTGCTGCCACCAAACCTTCCTCCCCCTTTTCCTCTGCCTCTTCCTCGACCATATCCACGGCCGATGCTCGCTGCCCCAGCGCCATCCGCACTCGCCAAACTCACGACGGCGGAAATCCTCTTGAAGGATAGCCCGCTTCACGTCTTCGAGCGAGAGGCGGGGCAAGTCGCGATTGAGGTTGATGATGAGCGAGGACCATGATTCAGGGAGTAGGGCCAGCAACTTGGTCTTCTTTTGGAGCTCACTATAGTTCAAATCAGCTCCCTCAAGCCGCGTCAACAAGTCGAAGAATTTCTGCACCCCTTCTTCTACCGCTTCATCCTCTTCAATTCGTAACGTCGCCATTTGCCGTTCCAACACCACAGCTACCGCCGCTGTTGCAGGAGCGTGTACACCCTTGAGAGCAGCCCATGCTTTTGGTCCCTTCTCTGGTTCACGCTGGAAAGGCTTGATGTGACGGATTTGGCTGCTCCCCAACGCTTGCCCAAGTAGGAGGTAGCCTTGTGCGCTCTTCCGCACCCACGGGCTCTTCTCCGGGTCGTTCTCGGGACGCTTCTTCCGTTCCTTCCATCACCTCCAGCAGGTCATAGTGGTCAAATATGTTCTCCATTCTGAAGGACCACTCAGCAAAGTTGTCACCATTGAACTTGTCAAGGCCAAACACTCTAGGCTCATCCCTAGATGGGCCAACACTTGGTTGCACGGGCGCCATGGGCTGAGTCATGGGGTTGGCCTTGAGCTTGGGCTTCTCCTCTACCACCAGCACCTCTGCCACCCCTTTCCTCATGTCCAGCCATTGTCGAAACTGCTCCAAGGCGCTCTGATACCACTTGTTATAGTCACAATAGGCTCCAATGTGCCTAAAACGAAAGATAGAGTGCACAGCCGGATTTCTGCACAGTGGCTTCAAACGTTCATAGCGTTCTGGTCACAACTTCAAATGACCTGATTCAACTTGGATCTGGAGTGTCTGAACGTCGCCTACAATAGGCAATTTAGATTGCACGATTTGACCAAGTATTGACGACACAGTGTTGGTTTGAACGAACGGCACTATGGCAGCCACTATAGTCTTAGAACACAAAATAGGAAGAGATCTGAAGAGTTACGAGTTGGGAATGACTCCCAGCTCCTACAAACCCCAAGAGCCGAGGTACAGTGATGTGGAACAGTGCCACACTGTCCCCAACCACGAAGGGTCTCGAAACTACCCTTCACTAGGGCCTACACCAAGTGAAATGTTACACTACACAAAGTAATGTAACTATCTTCAATATCTTGAGGTGTACCCTTTTGGCGAGCTTTGAAATCACCTGAGGCTTGACACCAAGGCTCGGGCTCTTCATCACAAACTCATCCTTGAGTTTTTTGATGGGTCTGCTGCACACACCTGCGACACACCGAACGTTCGACACAGGACAAAATAGAAACCGCGCACGACAAAATAGAAACCGCGCGAGACACAAACGACCGCGGTAACACGCGTCTAGCGATAAACTCGCTATTGACTCAACACACACACTCGACATCATGACTCAACATTCACACACAATTATAAGCATGAAATATATATTATCCCATGCCCTCATACCATTCCATACACACACACACATGCACGCACACGGACAACAAGCCGAGTGCAAACCATAGGGTTGCACCAACAGAGAGGAGCAGGGAACCACAGCAGGGAAGGGAGGAGAGGAACCATAGCAGGGAGGGGAGCGTGGGAACCACAGCAGGGAAGGGAGGAGAGGAACCACAGCATGGAGGGGAGGAGAGGAACCACAGAAGGGAGGGGAGGAGAGGAACCACAGCAGGGAGAGGAGCAGGGGAAACACAGCAGGGAAGGGAGGAGAGGAACCATAGCAGGGAGGGGAGCGTGGGAACCACAGCAGGGAAGGGAGGAGAAGAACCACAGCATGGAGGGGAGGAGAGGAACCACAGCAGGGAGGGGAGGAGAGGAACCACAGCAGGGAGAGGAGCAGGGGAACCACAGCAGGGAAGGGAGGAGAGGAACCACAGCAGGGAAGGGAGCAGGTGAACCACAGCAGGGTAGGGAGGAGAGGAGTCACAGCAGGGAGGGGAGCAGGGGAACCACAGCAGGGAGGGGAGGAGAAGAACCACAGTAGGGAGAGGAGCAGAGGAACCACAGCAGGGAAGGAAGGAGAGGAACCATAGCAGGGAGGGGAGCATGGGAACCACAGCAGGGAAGGGAGGAGAGGAACCACAGCAGGGAGGGGAGGAGAGGAACCATAGCAGGGAAGGGAGGAGAGAAACCACAGCAGAGAGGGGAGCAGGGTAACCACAGCAGGGAAGGGAGGAGAGGAGTCACAGTAGGGAGGGGAGCAGGGGAACCACAGCAGGGAAGGGGAGGAGGGGAGGGAGGAGAGGAGTATCAGCAAGGAGAGGTGCGCAGGAGTAACAGCAGGGAGGGGAGCACAGTAGTAACAACATGAGGGCGAAGCAAGGATTGACATCAAGGGGGGCGGGGTTAAGAAATAATAGCACAGAAGGGAGGATGCAGCAGGGAGTAGCATAGAAGGAAGACCCAAGCAGAGTATGGACCTAGGGTTGATAGTGGGTAGTAGTAGCGCAGGTGTCATTAACCAAGGATGATTAGTAGAGTAGCTAAGAACCATAGAATAAGTAGGCATCTAGTGTGTTGTAAACCTTTTCAAGCTAATATTATGATTTACACGTACATGCCTTCCCTCTTACGGTGTATTTATGGAAAGTGCTAAAGAAACTACCAACTGGGTTTTTCAAACTCTGATTATGTTTATTTATAATACCCCATAAACCCTTTCCAAGATTATTTTATGCATATAAAAATAAATTGCAAACCTTATCCAAGTCCAAAATTGAAGCACATAGTATGATTTAAACAAGTTATCCCAAACACAATGAGAAGTTCCTCACAACCATTTCCAAACTGTTTAAAAACACACCGATCATTGGCAAAGCATCTGACATATCATCTGGAAAAAGTTCGATACTTTCTTCTAAAAAAGTACCAACCCCTACATCTTCAAATCATCTGCAAAAACACAACAAACACACTTCACGAGAGGTTTTCCGCCACTTGATTTTTGTGATGAATGCTCTCCTTCCAAATGTCACCGCAGAACCGAAAGGTCCATTTGAAACGGAAGGTAGACATTTGTAAGTGATACTAGGTGTTAATGCTGTCTAACCTACTTAATAACCCCCTTTCTGTTCTCCGTTTCCCTCCAATATGCTTGTGTGGCTCATATTGAAAGAAAGCGCTCTAAGCACTACCATAAGATTAATGATGTTCCCCAACCATTCCATTCCACTGCCCACCAGGCATCTGTCTAACAAAGGCTTAACCGGGTCCATTCCAGATTACATCAGTGCCTTGGACAGGCTGAGCTATCTGTGAGTATGAGTGGGAGCATGCACACATGAGTGGGAGCATGTAGAGATGGGCATGTGCACAGATGAGCATGCGCAATGCATGAGCAATGCATGAGCATTGCATGAGCAATGACCAACATGTGACCAAATAATGATGAGCCAGGGGTGAACCTACCAAATCAGCATACAATGGCCAGTCAGTGGCTGGTCTGTCACGAGCCGAAGGATGGAACAGCCTGCCAGGTTTATGGTGAACCTACCGGGATTTTTGGATATAGAATTTTCGTTGCGTGAAAATGGTTGGGAGCAAGAAATAGATTCCACGACATCGTCCCAAGCCAAACTCGCTAAACCTTCTCCCATGTCCAACTCAATGTATCAAACAACACACAAATATTGAGTTTTTACAACCAGTGAACCTAGCCATGAAGTGTGGTCCTCCTCTATCCCCCTCCCTCTTTCTCCCTCTCTCCCCCTTTCTCCCTCTATCCCATGTTTCTCCCCATCTCTCCCTCTCTCACCACCGTATCTCTCGCCTCTCCTCATCTCTCCCTCCCCCTTCTCCCGCTCGCAGCAATCTCTCATACAACGGCTGAGAGGGTGCCTTGCCTTCCACCATCGGCTCTTGAGGCACCTTAGAGGAACTTATAACTCATCCCTCTTTCACCACCGTATCTCTCCCCTCTCCCCGTCTCTCCCTCCCCTTCCTCCTGCTCGCAGCGATCTCTCATACAACGACCTAAAGGGTGCCTTGCCTTCCACCATCGGTTCTTTATCCAATCTTCAACGCCTGTACGCCTTTCTGCACTGCCACTAAATTGCGTTACAATAAATGCAGCTCGAGATGTCTCAAATAATAAATCGTTCATCTATCATCGCCTTTTTATCCACCCTTAAAGTCCTGTACTCGTTCCTGCCTGCACCACCACTGAATTGTTATGTTGTGATGAGGCTGCACACATTTCTGCACTTACTAGAATGATGAGTTTTTGAACCATCAAGTCCTGCACGCGTTCCTGCTGCCTGCACTGCCACTAAATGGTTATCTCTAGAGACCGTGCGCATGTCTCCCTCCTTCTTTCCCTACCCCCCCCCCCCCCCCCCGCCCCACTCCCTTCTCCCTCCCTCCCTCCCTCCCTCCCTCCCTCCCTCCCTCCCTCCCTCTATTGATCCCTCGCACACCGCCATCCTCCCTCCCTCCCTTCCTCCCTCCCTCCCTCCCTCCCTCCCTGCCTCCCTGCCTCCCTCCCTCCCTTCCTGCCCCCCTCCCTCCCTGCCCCCTCCTTCTCCTCCCTCTCGACATCTCTCCCGCTCTCACTCACAGCGACCTCTCATCCAAACTTGGCCAGTGTGCCTTTCCTCGTACTACCATCGGCCTCTGAGGCACCTCCAAAACACTCAAAGCTCATATCTCCCCCTCCTCCTCCTCTCCCTCTCCTCCCTCTCCCTCTCCCTGTCCCACTCACAGCGACCTCGCATCCAACTTAATAAAGGGTGCCTTGTCTCCAATGGCCTCTGAGGCACCTCTAAGAAACTCAAATCTCACCTACCCTCTTCCTCCCATTCTTCCTCCCTCTGCCCTCCCGCTCGCAGCGGCCTCTCATCCAACTTCATTGAGGGCGCTTTGCCTCCCGCCATCGGCTCCTTATCCCGCCTTAAAACCCTGTACTCATTTCTGCTTTACTTTCTCGACCAGTGATTTATAACTCACTTATATCACGTGTCTTTCCCCCTCCTCTCATCAACATCCTCCTCCCTTCATCGCAGTGATCTATACTCCAACAAAATGAGCGGAGCAGTACCCCTGTCTTTGAGTGCACTCACCAATCTGGTTCTCATGTTCGTCACCCTCCTCCATCTCATTTCCAACTCTTTCGCTCACCCTCTCACTTTCACTCTTTCTTTCCGCCTTGTCTAGTACGCTCAATCCAAATTCCAATACCAAGCATCCTTGAGTGTCTGGAAGAAGCCACCCTTGAATTGAAGTACACAGCAAGAGATGAGACTTATTGTTGATTTGCCTCACTTCCCTCGTTGTGGACGTCGAGTTGTCCCAACAGACATAACTTCAGTTCTACATTTTCTCTTCTCCTCTCCACCATATACCAGAGCCTTCGTTGCTTTCAACTTTCATTATTAACCAGCCACTTCACTCACCTCACCAACATTTGTGACTTGGGAACCCTTGCGTGCACCAAAACCACCCTTGCTCCCTCAATCAGTGACCTAGGGAACAATGCATTCTCAGGAAGCTTCCCCACTGGCGTGTCAAAACTAACTCAGCTCTCGTTCCTGTACGTGTCACCTATGCTGACAATCTCTTTTGTAGAACCCAAGGAGGGACCAACCCATGTGACCACGGTGACGACACTTGATTCAGCAACCCATGCACCTATGCTAACAATCTCTTCAATCAAGGGGCGCCAATTTATGGGATCACAGTGAGGCGACTTTATTTATCAGGTTAGATACAATTTTGCTGGCCCTTTCTTCCCTCTTTCCCTTTCTGGTCGTCATCGCAAAGGTATCCGACCTTTTTCATATTTTTTGGGTGGCCAGAGTTCTGAAACAAGTTCATGGGCCAGAGTTTATTTAAAAGTTTAAGGTACAGAACCGTTCCGACCGTACGAAGCGGGCTGCATCTGACTGACATTTTGAGCCCTGGACATGTGGGTGATTGTGAGCGACATGTGCCTTACGTGTCACTGGCTTGGTTGGCTCGCTTGTGTTGTGACTGGCTTGTTGTGCCTGACATGACATGGCATGACATGACATGACCTGTGCTTGTGCAGATCGCTCTTTTACAACAGTTTTGAAGGATCGGTTCCCTCATCCATCTCTCGCCTCTCGAATCTTCAAGCGTTGTATGCTAAAAATACGTAATAGAAGTCGGAGTAGAGTAGAGTAGTCAACAGCCTCCACTGCAAGCAATAGCTGCTGTTGACGAGTATGTCAGTAATAGGGTCTTACCCTCGCCTCTCGAAAGCTCCAAGCATTGTATGCCAGGAATACGTCTGCAGCGTATAAGCAATAGAGTAGTTCCTTCACTGTCTCGCTCACCTGTTGAAAAATATTCAGTGTGGACTTGCGTTGACATTTGCTGCTGCCCTGTGTTGACCTCTGCTGCCCGGTATTGACCCCGCTGCATCTGCGTTGACCTCTGCTGACCATTATTGGCCTCTGCTGACCAGCATTGACCTCTGTTGACCTCTGTAGACGTGTGTTGACCTTTATTGACTCATTCCTGTTCTCCCCCTCGGGCGCAGCAATCTAGGTGGAAACAACAAATTCGAGGGGGAAATCCTTCCAGCAGTGGCAGCCCTCAGCAGCTTGGTGGTTGTGTAAGCAGTAGCGACCATTAGCTAGCAGTGTCGTACGCTGGGACATTGGGATTATTGCGGGTAGAGAGATGACTTCTGAGGCGCCTTAAATGCTGGGTTCATTCACCCAGCTGGGAGATTGGGATTATTTCTTACGCTGGGAGTGCCAGGGTGCATTCGCCTCGCCTACAGAATCTATCTCTTTCCATCTTTGTAATCTCAGGCGCATTCTCTCTCTTCTCACTCTTCTCACTCTTCTCTCTCCTCTCACTCTTCTCTCTGTTCTCTCTACCCCCTCTTATCCCCTCCCTGCAGCAACCTTGCTTACAACAAGATCTCAAGTTCCATTCCATGCCTACAGGTTGCATTGCATTGGCTCCCTCTGTACCTGCGGTTTTTCACTTTCTTCTCAGTCTCTTCTCGCTCTTTGTTCTCAACCTCTCCATCCCTGCAGCAACCTTGCCTACAACATGTTTTCAGGTTTTATCCCTGTGGAGTTTGGCAGGCTCACCTACTTGCAGACCGTGTAAGAAGCTAACTTCTGAGGCGCCTCGCCTCAGTAGCAGAATCTGACTATAGTATTACTGTGGGGCGTCTCAAAAGTAGATGCCTCAATAGCAGAATGTGACTCTAGGATTCTTGTCAACGTTGCTCCCCATGCAAGAATCGTCACACGACTTGAAAAGACGTCCATGCAAAAATGAAGGCCACAAACTCAAAAGCGTTCCTTTGTTGCTTAAACGTTTACTTCAGGTTTGCTGCTACTCCATTATGAGCTTGAAACACAGGCCATGAACTCAAAGACTCATTTCTGCTCCCCGTGCTAGACTTGTTTTCATAAAACACTTCTCTGTCCCACTTTTCCGCGTACCCCACCCTCCCGTTCATACCCCATCGCTCCCCTTCATACCCCCTTACACCCCTTCATACCCCACCACACCTATCATTTCGCTCCATTAGTGTGCTTCAATACAACCATTTCACGGGAAGCATCCCAGAAACCCTCTCCTTGCTCAAAAAACTCTCTTACATGTATGCCTGCAGATTGTTATGGTGTGGTGCAGTGCAGTGCCGTGCGGTGTGGTGTGGTGTCTGTGTTGTGTGATGTTATGCAGTGCGGTGTGGTGCGGTGTGGTGTGGTGTGGTTCTCAGGAAAGTCGCTCTCCACTACTTCCTTGAGAGGGTCTCTCACAATCCCTTCCATTGTCTCTGCCTCCTCCCCAGTGACTTCCGTTGTCTCACCATGCCTTCCTTTGTCAATTCAAAAGCCATCCCTCCCACCATCCACCCCTCCCGCCATCCCTCCCACCATCCACCCCTCCACCATCCCTCCCACCATCCCTCCCCTCCCACCACGCCTCCCACCATCCCATAACCCCAGGGACTTCGCCCGAAACATGTTCCGTGGCACCATCCCTTCATTCTTCGCCACCCTCACCAAACTCGACGTGCTGTATGTTCCGCTTTGATGGTACATTACGTTTCTTGAGGCACCTTACGATCATGCACTTATCACATCTTACGCTTCTTTTGAGACATTTAAAAACGCTCTCATTTCACGTGCCTTATGGTCAAGATCGTATGGCATCTTCTTACGGTACTTGCTGCACAATCTTAAGATTGTGCTGTGATGGCATGTTGAGTTCACTGAGAGGTTGGTTTCCTGAGCCGCCATTAGATCGTCCGAATCAAAATTGACAGGCCTATTAGAAATAATGGCTGCTGAATTTAAGCAAGTGTAGGTTAACATTTCCATCGCAAGCCTTGTTGCGGAATAAAGGCTACTTTATGCATTTTTTAGAGTTCTCCACAGTGACTCCCGTGAAGTAGGTGCTTCTTGTTATTAGAGTACTGTTGCGAGGGAAGTACGACAATATGTCACATTATCTCCACTCCAACCTCCTTCCCCTGTTGCAGGCACTTTGGCAATAAACAGTTTTTTGGAGAGATTCCCATAATACCGAAAGATTCATTTAAAGTGCGAATGTTGCCCCGTTGTGCAGGAACTTTGACAATAACCAGTTTTCTGGAGAAATTCCCTCCCAATTCGGAAGCCTCACAAATCTCACATACCTGTACGGTTCCGGGATTCTCCTTTCTTTACTTGCCTTGAATATTCTAGAAAAGGTGCAAACTTTTGATGGAGTTTAGGGTAAATGTGCGAACTTGTTCGAGTTACTTCATAATAATACTAATACCTACTTCAAACTCCCCGGGTTTATTGCCAGTACCATCCCACGTTGGTAGTGTAATGCGACGCATTACAGTACCACCCCCCACCTCCCTGCAGGGGTTTCGCCACCAATGCTCTCCAATGTCACTCCTAATGCCTCATTGCCATCCCATCACCTGCCTCCCGCCATGCACTATTGCCACCACCCTCCACCTCCCTGCATCGCCGCCGATGCTCTCTAATGTCACTCAAAATGCCCCTTTGCCGTCCCATCACCACCCACCATGCCTATTGCCATCACCTGCCACCCACCACCTCCCTCCAGAGGCTTCGCCACCAATGCTCTCTCGGGCATCGTTCCACCCACCCTCGGGAATCTCCTGCTCCTCACGGCGCTGTGAGTGTAAAAGGGGGGTGATTGTAATGGGAGGTGTGAGAAGGTGGTGTGAGCGTAAGGGGGTCATGAGTGTAGGGGAGAGAGTGGGTGAGTGTAAGGTGGGGGTGTGAGTGTAAGGGAGGGTGTAAGTGAACGCTACCTTTTCCCCCTCCCCCTCCCCCCCCTCCCCCTCACCCCTCTCCCCTGTCCCCCAGTGAGTTCAACGAGAGCGGAACGGTGTGCTCAGGAGCCAGGCAGCCGTGTGTGGTGTGGCAGACCCCCTCCATCCCTCTCCCCATCTCACCCTGTCCTTCCCTGCCTCGGTTACTCAGTGAGCTCAACGAGAGCGGAACGGTGTGCTCAGGGGCCGGGCAGCCGTGTGTGGTGTAGCAGAACTTCTCCTCTTAGTTCTGCACCCCACCCGCTTCCGTTGATCGATGCTTCTTTCCTCCCCCGTCTCCCTCCTTCCCTTCCCCCACCCCCCAGAGGGCTCAACGAGAGTGGCATGGTGTGCCCAGGAGCAGGCCAGCCGTGCGTTGTGTACCAGACCCCCTCCTCGCACTTCTGCATCAACTGCCCCGACTTCTGCTCCTCCTGCTCCAACAGCTCTGCCCCTTCCTCTGGCTCCCCTGCTGCTAGCCCCTCCCCTCCTCCGCCTGCCAATAGCACTCCTCCTCTTCCCCCACAGATACATCTTCCTCCTCCTCCTCGTCCGCCCTGCCTCTAGGGGCGATCATTGGCATTGCTGTTGGAGGCGTACTCGTTTTTGTCCTCCTCGTTATTGGCCTGTTTCTGCTCTGGAAGCGAAGGTCCCCCCAAGGTGAAGTTCTGGCTGGTAGCCTAATTGCCATGAATATCCTCTATTCACCTTTGTTTCCGTCTGTCCCCCACACCACAATCCTCCTGTTAGAGATGAGCATTTGCCGGCCCGACCCGACCCGTGGTTTAGCCCGGTTCAGGTCAGTGGTTTCATGTGCCTGCCCCGTGCGGGCCAACCCGACCCGACCCGGTCTAAAATCCGATCCGAGCATGGAACTCGGGCCGAGTCGGGTCGGGTTTCGGGTCAGGCTTGACCCGACCCGAATTCGGGTCAAGACCAGGGACGAAACCGGGCTTTTGGCCCGACCCGATTTCGACACACTGGGGACGAAACCCTAGGTCAAATTGTTGTCGTCTCGACATCAGAACCTACCCACGCTCTCAATCTTGCCTAATGGCAGCAAGCAAGTCACCTAAGCTTAAAAGCTACTTGGTTACCACCTGTTCAAACCTCATTGACAGAATTTATAGCTAGTTTACTATCGTATCCTGCTGTACACGGAAAATCGCGATGCAGGAATGGCGTTTTTTTACAACATCGCGTTTTACTAGCGATACTTCAATTCACAGGCTGCACGCCTCGTTTTAGGCTAGCAGTTGCTCATAGGTGCGCCAGCAGCTAACATTGAACCATTTCGTAGAGGTTCTTAAGGGCCATCCTGGGCGGGTCATCCTGGCCCGGCCCGACCCGACCTGTAACGGGGTCCAAGTTGACTCGAGTGTGTAGGCCCGGGTCGGGCCAGAACCTTCAGCACCCTGGCCCGAGGTTGGCCTGACCCGACCAGACCCGGGAGCTCGTGTGGCCCGCCCATGTCGGGTCGGGTCGGGTCGGGTCGGGCCGGGCCGGGCCGGATGCTCATCTCTACCTCCTGTTGATGTTTCTGTGAACATGTGTGCTACAGTTACATCTACAGCTACAGCTACATTTACAAGAACATTACTTTCCTTCTGCTAGAAGTTGTCTCTCCTCTTGAAGGCTCGTGTTCTTTGGGAGCTGCGTAGTTTTGCTTGTTCCGCATATAAGGTAATTCATGGCATTTTTGCCTTTTAGAGGCGCTTCAAAAGTTGCCGTATTCCGCAACCTCAAAGGCACGTGTATGTTTGCCTTTTGTTTTTGACAGGATCCCAAGATTCATTCTCAGAAGTCATAGGATGCAAGCATGCGCACTGAACTCAACCCTTCCACCTCGTGTTCCTATCCCTCGTTTTCCAGAAATGACTGTAAAAAAGAGTGGAAAGGGGGAGAGGGGGCGGGAGTGGTCAGCCATGCCGAGCTTGGCCCTCATGTGGCAGTGCTTCTCCTTTGCAACTGTGACCAAGGCATCGTAGTTGTTCCTTTCAGCACGGATTTCCATGTCTTTAAAGCTCGCGTCTCATATTTTCTCCGTTTTAACATTTGGTTGGGTTTGGGCCTCCGGGACTGGTTGGCGATTGACGAAATCTGTGACGAGCTGAAGAATCCAATTACGGACGTGCGTAACCAACCAAGTGTTAAACGCTTGTAAATATGAGTCTTGAGACGCGAGCTTTAACTCAATCCCCATAGCCTATGCTCAACACGTGAGTCACTTTTCATATTTCTTAGAAGTTTTTCACACCACGGTATGCTTGATTCCTATCCTACCGTGCCCACCCATTGCCAGCACGTGAGCCATCAAGCCACCCCACAGGCGGTGGAGCATGGAAGGAGGGAGTGAAATCAGTCACCCAGTTGCTCCCTTAAGCATGGTTGCTCATGCCCACCCATGCCCCATGCTCATATGCTTGGTTGCCTCCATGCATGCACACCCATTGCCAGCACGTGAGCCATCAAGCCTCCCCACAGGCGTTGGAGAATCATCGGTGCCAACCCAATCACTCATGTGCCAGCGATACCCCTTAGAAGTGGTAGTCAAGGCAACGGACAACTGGGCAGAGGCAAACCATATTGGGTCAGGGGGGCATGGCGAGGTGTATCGTGGGGTGTGTCCGGAAGATCCCTCGGTTGTGTGGGCTGTGAAACGCGCCAAGATACTCACGAATGACTTCAAAAGAGAGGTGTGTTGGGCGTCTAGGCAAGAAGAAGATGAATCGTGTCACATGTCAAACTTAAGTTATAAAAGAGTTGTTTGCCCATGTCTACTTGTTTTAAAAGAGTCGACTCCTTGTTGCATTTCCTCGTCCCCTTGATTCCCGTGCAGGTGGATGAGATTTCGTCGAATACCTTATGCCTTCAGCGCAATCTTAGTGCTCATTCGCAGCACTTTCCGCATTCCTTCATCTTCTTGATTCCATTGCAGGTGGAGGAGATGGCATCAAAGAGCCATCAGAGGCTCTCATTCACGCACATTCATCGCCCTCATTTGTGTTCCTGCTAACTTTCCCCGTCTTGAGCAGGTGGACGAGATGGCGTCAAAGAGCCATAAAAAATCATTGTCACGAATCCACGTCTGACATTTCTCGTCCCTTCATTCCCCTGCCAGGTGGAGGAGATGGCATCAAAGAGCCATCTGCACTTGGTGCGGCTGCTGGGGTACTGTGTGGACATTGACAGGGCAACAGACCACCACGAGCAGATCGTCATCTATGAGTTTTGCCCAAACGGAGACCTTGAGAAGTACCTTACTAGAGGTGAGAGAAGTTTCTTAAAGCGTCAGTGTACATTTGACTGGTTTCGGGTTCGACGAAACAACAATTCGGCAAGGTGAATTCAAAATGCAGGGAATTTTGTTCACGAAATTCCGAAACCTGAAACCACAAAGGGCGGTTTCAAAGCACTCGGCGCTCGTCCTGCCAAATGTAGACTGTCGTTTTCAAGTGAGCATTACATTGGCCCTGCTAAAGGTCAAGTGTTGTGATGTTGGGTTGCAAGTTTCACTTCTTCTCATTGGTTCGTCCTGGCACATGCGACATGGTTTCGCCACCTTGAGGTTCCGTAAAGCCCGCATGCGATAAAAATCAAAAGGCATTTGGGTGATAGCATCTCGTACGTTCTATACGCGCTAAAATCACACACGTTTTTTTTTTTTCCATTCTTGAAGAGATTAAGAGTGTTGAGCGCCTTTATTTGTATCATAAACTTCAACGCAAGTTCTTACGATTCCTAGTTGGAACACTCTTTGCAGTGGATGCCCCTTACTGTTTCTCTTCTTTTGCATTGTGAGAGAACGGTGTTTCCTTGTGAGACGTCTCAAAGCATGGATATCTTTGAAGAGGTTTTCTTTCTGTTGATGCTACAAACCACCCCATCATGTCCCCATGCAGGATCCAAAAAGGGCAAGTTGACGCTGCAGCAGCGCATGGATGTGCTGGTGGGGGTGGCGCGGGGGTTGGAGTACCTCCACCAATTTGACATCGTGCATCGAGACATCAAGCCCGCCAACGTGCTGCTTGATGCTAACATGCAGGTACTGGGGAGGAGGTGGAGTTTATTTGATGGTTGAGTGTTGTGTGGTGCGGTTGTGGTGAAGGCGTGGGGTTGGAGACATCAAGCTCGCCAACTGCTTGAATTCCGCATGCAGGTGAAAAATGGGACTAAGGGGCCGGCTGGGTGAGTGCGGCGTAGTGCGGTTGGGGAGCCACTTGCGAGCTATTTGTACACAACAGATAGCATTCGAGCTTTGGCCTCGTGAATGGGGCCATAACACACAAAACCACCGTTCTCTTTTTTCCCACTTTGCTCCAGCCTCCATGCAAAGGTGCCTAGTATCACAGCCAACGCTGTTGGAATTTGGGCTGGTGCGCATGAGTCTCATCAAACACAGCTATCATCAAACACAGCTATCATCTAACACAGCTATAATCTAAGACAGCTCCTGCCTACATCCTACTGCCCCCTGCCATGGCATCAACAACTTGTGTTTTTCATCTCTCCTCCCTTCATCTACAGGCAAAAATATCAGACTTTGGGTTGGTGCGCATGACAGAGGGCACCACAGTGAATCCCACAAGAGTGGTCGGCACTCCGGGTTATGTGGACCCCGCTTACTCGCGCACCAACAAGGCCACGCCCATGGCTGATATTTATAGGTGGGTTGGGTTGAATTGAATGAATGACTCTCCCATGGCCGATTGCACTGATGAACATAGTTAACCGCCCCACATTATCACTTCCATGTGACATGCTATGCTCTTCCTTTGTCACCTATGGTTGCATTCTTTTTCACGAGGTACTTGCCACAGAGCGTGCTTCTTTTATTTTCCCCTTTTTTTTTCATCCGCCCCCCCTGCTGCTACAGCTTCGGCGTGACGATGCTTAGGATCATGCTGACCAAGCCTGTTGTGATCCAAGAGAATGGTGGAATCAACATCCGAGACTGGGTAAGTGCAAATAAAATATATGAGTCAAGTACATCGTTGGTGTCTATCCTCATACGCATGTCGGTGAATCGCTAGTCATGTCTTAATCATCCTTCTTGCAAAAAATCTTCACTGTGAGTTCTCTCATGTTTTGCTCTCTATTCTCCATTCTCGTTCGTCACTGCAATTTCACAAAGTACTACACAGCTGCTTGCCTGCCTCGCCCATAGTAAGCATTAATGATCCCTACTTGTCCACCTTTCCAGGTCGACAAACTTGTCCAAGCGGACGACATAGAAGCTCTTAAAGACCCTAATCTTGATTCGATACCTGATGAGCTGCTACTCAAGGTGACGGAGCTTGCTCTACAATGCACATCGCTCCTTGCCTCATCACGACCGCATATGATTGAAGTTGTCGCGCATTTGGGTGCAATGCGAAGGGATTTCTGTGAAGTTCAGGCGTCGACAAAGGATTCGAGGCTGCTCAAGATTGATATAGAGGTTCGAAGGCAAGGTTCGGGACCTCAGCGCAGTATGGAGGACGAGCTTGAGATTCTTGATGGGATGCTCGGGGGAGTCACATAAATAGACAAAAGAGAACCTATTTGCCAATCTGTAATTCATCTGAAGTCCATTGTTTGGCCATGATGAGCCAATTATCGCTCCCAACCTTCAGAGTGCAATCAAACCACTCTGCCGCGCAACCCATCTCACCCAACCGCACTGAATTGTACTCTTCCATGGGGACACATGCATGAAGGCGTGTATGTGTAGACTAGCCATGGACCCGTGGATGACATGGATGCATCAGGCTCCCTGGCATAAAGGCGTGTCAGGTGGGTAGGGGGAGGAATCTCTCTCTGGGTACACACTCGGTCATCCTCATTGAACCTGCATACTTCGAGAAGAGAAGTGAACAGCGGGGGAGATATGGAGCAGAGGAATAAAATGCACTCAGCGGTATTAAGGGTGGAAGCCAAAACACATACACAGCAATTGGTTCCAGCCCCAGCAATGTGTGAGGCAGATGCTTGACAATGCCAACACGCACATGATACAAAAGGGACGAGAAGACGTGCCATCCAGAGCATGGGAAATGTAAGGGAGTTTGTAGCATCGACTTAGCCACACATCCACTCAGCATACTGCGGTGCGGACCTGTCTTTCACCTCAGCTGCTGTCTCTACTAGTGCTTGTCCCATTCATTGCTTCACCCACCTTGCCACTGCTGTTGCCACTCTTATTCCCGCTGGTCCTGCCAAAGCATGTGAGCTCGTGGGAGTGGTGGAGTTGGCCTTGCACCTGCTGGATAGTGCTTGCAGAGAAGGAGAGGTGATGGAAGGCGATGGTGGGCAGGGAAGAAAGGGAAGGCATGGCAGGCAGGGAGGATGAAGGCTGAGAACTGGAAGAGCACAGAGCGTGGTGAAATGGTGACCTATTTCAGCGAGCCTCTCCACTGACGGAATCAAAATTCTGGCCTTGTGACTGCTGAATAGATGGATGGGGTTGTGGGAAAATGGTACGGTAGGTGGGCGACAACAGTGAGGGTAGGGAAGATCTACGGAAGCAGCCCCTCACTTTTGTGGATGGCGCGTCCCACCTCCAGCATGTGCCCAACCCACCTCCACCATGTGCCCAACCCACCTCCAGCATGTGCCCAACCCACCTCCACCATGTGCCCAACCCACCTCCACCATGTGCCCAACCCACCTCCACCATGTGCCCAACCCACCTCCACCATGTGCCCAACCCACCTGCACCATGTGCCCAACCCACCTCCACCATGTGCCCAACCCACCTCCACCATGTGCCCAACCCACCTCCACCATGAGCCCAATCCACCTCCACCATGTGCCCAACCCACCTCCACCATGTGCCCAGCCCACCTCCACCATGTGCCCAACCCACCTCCAGCATGTGCCCAACCCACCTCCACCATGTGCCCAACCCACCTCCACCATGTGCCCAACCCACCTCCACCATGTGCCCAACCCACCTCCACCATGTGCCCAACCCACCTGCACCATGTGCCCAACCCACCTCCACCATGTGCCCAACCCACCTCCACCATGTGCCCAACCCACCTCCACCATGAGCCCAATCCACCTCCACCATGTGCCCAACCCACCTCCACCATTTGCGCAACCCACCTCCACCATGTGCGCAACCCACCTCCACCATGTGCCCAACCCACCTCCACCATGTGCCCAACCCACCTCCACCATGTGCCCAACCCACCTCCACCATGTGCCCAACCCACCTCCACTATGTGCTTACCACCTTCTTTCTAATTTTCTTAGCTGTCGAATGCATGGTTGTTTCTAAATTACGGAACAGGTTCACTTGTAGAGTGAGTGTGGGATTTTTAGAGAGAACGAATCAGTTTCAAACATCATGCCTGTAAAGCTCTACACTCTTAACCTAACAATCTGCACTACGTGACATTTCATCTGTTTTTCCATCCCACATATCTAACCTGTAACGCGGAATTACTGTGCACCTTCGGAATTATATCTCATACCCTCCACCCCTCTCATAGTCCCTATTCCTCTCACACCCCCATTCCCTCAAGACCCCTCTCCCCTCATGCCTTGTATTACGCTTCGTAACCCCTAGTTCTTTCACAAATCCCATTCCTTTCATACCCCCCACTTGTCTCATACCCCCATTCCTCTCATACCCCCACTCCTCTCATACCCCCACTCCTCTTATAACCCCACTTCTCTCATACCCCCACTCCTTAAAACCCCCACTCCTCTCATAACCCCCATTCCTCTGAATACCCCCACCCCTCTCCCCACTCACATGCCGCCTCTCCTCTCATACCCGCACTCCCTTGATACCCACCAATCCTCTGACACCCACCACTTCTCTAATACCCCCCTATCCTCTCTTACACTCCCCCCCCCCCCCCCCCCCCCCTCCCCCTTCCCCCCCACCCATACCATTCCCCCACTCCTCTTATACTCCCCATTCATCTCATGAACCCCAGTTCTCTCATGCCCCATTATTCCTCTCATAACCCCTCACTCCTATCATACGTTCTCTCTTACTCCTCACGCCTCTCATACCCCCCCCTCCCTCCTTGTATTGTGGCTCGGTTTGGTTAGAAGAATGTGTGCAAAATGCTTGCGCTATGCTTGTAGTGGTTGTTGTGAAATTGCCATATTTGTTGTAAAATGTGCCACAAATCGTAAGCTTGTGATGATGCGGTTCCGGAGGGACATGATGGCTAGAGGGAGACGGTGGAGATAGTCGTAATCTTGACCTTGCACCTGCCAAACAGGGGCATGCAAAGAAGGATGTAAGGCAATCACATTGTGCACGAACGCATAGGAAAGAAGGCAGGGAGTCGAGAAATCTGAAGTCTAAGAAGAGGCAGAGCACACCGCCTCAAAATGCACCTAGCTTCTTATGAGAGCCACTCCAGCATTGAGAGTACCAGTAGACTTGTTCTAAGGGTACCAATCTTGGCCTTGAGCCGGTTGAATATGTCCTTCTGGGGTTTAAGCGTTAATGGTAGGTAGGGTGGGGGAGGACAAAGGGTAGGGTGGGAGATTGAGGGCAGCTCATGATGTTTGCAGTGTATCCGCACCCACGAATGACCTGAGTCTGACCTGAGATTGACCTGAGACTAACCAGAAACTGACCAAAGTCTGACCTAAGACAAAACTGAAACCGACCTGTGTCAAGAATGACCTGAGACTGACCCAAGGCTCACCTGAGACTGACCCAAGGCTGACCCGAGACTGACCCGAGGCTGATCCGAGGCTGACTTGAGACTGACCCCAGATCTACCGACCTGAGAATGACCTGAAACTAGCCTGATCTGACCTAATACTGACCTGAAACTGACATGAGACTGACCCAAGGCTGACCAAGACTGACCCTGACCCAAGGATGACCCAAGGGTGACCCAAGGCTGACCCAAGGCTGACCCAAGGCTGGACCGATACGGACCCAAGACTGACTCAAAACTACCTCAGACTGGCCTGAAATTGACCTGATCTTACCTAGAACTGACCTGAAATTGACTCGAGACTGGCCTGAAACTAACTTGAGACTGACCCGAAATGACCTAATCTAACCTAAACCGACCTGAAACTGACCTGAACCTAAAACTGACCCTAACCTAAAACTGACCTGAAATTGACATGAGACTGACCTTAAATTTACTTGAGACTGAGCTGAGAGTGACCAGAGAGTGACCTGAGAGTGGCTTGAGTGCGCAGCACCAGGCCAACTTTGTGAAACCTCCCCGTAGCCTATATCTATCTAGTGTGTTTGCTTTTGTATTCATAGTTGATATTGCAATTCTACTTGGCCCAAATGCTACTTCAATTCTCACCAAGTCCTTAGAGGCAAACGCTACCGAAACTCTACCAAGTTGCTCGCGCAACATCGTTCCCATAGCAGAAACTCTCTCGTTATCGCTACGCTGTCTAATATATTCCTTCATTGAGATTACCCTGAGAATGAGATGAGTACGACCTAACACAGATGCAAGGCCCTCTCCGCATGTTCTTGGCCGCAGGCTTCATGACGAAGTTAAAGGAGGCATCGAAGGTTAAGGGCGTGCCATATGGGCCAGGACTGTCGATGAAATGGAAGAGGTGGATGAGCCATCCTTTTTAGCCATCCATTCAAAAGCCTAAACCTAGCTGTATGCCGATGAAATGGTAAATTCACCCCAATAAACAGTGGAAACAATGGGCTGAAAGGTCAGTCAGCCAACCCTAGCGCTAATGTGCCCACAAATATGTTGTCAAATCCGCGATAGGAGCAGGACATACAGCGGCATGCAACGACGTTTACAATAAGTCAAAGCAGGGGATACAGATATAGTGAAACAAGCGTAAGGAGGGAGTATTACCTCATTCTCTATAATGTCTGACCTAAAACTCCAACCTGCGAGCGCGTCCCGAGTCAAATGGGTATCAACCCTAAACCAGTCCCAAATGAGCTTTGTCTGATGCTTCGTCCAATGGTAAGTCAGTCCGCTATGGGTCGGTCAGTCAGCCAATGGTCAGTCATTCAGTTAGCCGTGGATCAGTCATTCAGGCTGGGGTCGATGAGTCAGCCATGGGGTTTATGAAATATCTGTGCTCGGCATACTATTCATCATTGTCTGTACAAGTCATATTGCACTTCCCAACCCCCTTGCAGCGACCCACTTTCCTTTTCCCTCTCGGCATAGACCAATGTCAGCATCCACTTCCCCACCCTCCCCCCACCGTAGCCCCCCTCTTCCTATCCCCCTTTCCCTCCCCCCTCCCCCCTCCACCACTTCAAAACCCTAAGCACTTGTATGATGCTCATGGGTATAGATCAATCTGCCCTTCTCTAATGTTCCCTCAAGTCCTTTTGGGAACCCCGGGTCTTATTGCCGGGAGAATATGGTATCAATCTCCCCACTCTCTCTCAAAACCCTCCCCTACTAATGCTTCTGTCGCCAGGTTTCATTCCTCCCAAAAGAATATTCCCGTATCGCATTTGACATCACCTTGTGAATGAACGGGTTGTGAAGGAGAGTCGAACCGTTTCTTGCCCCAGTGTAACAGCCGATGAGGCATTCAACAGGAGTAGATTATGTCCGGATGCACAAAATAGAGGGAGAATGTGATGCTTTGCGGGTTAGCTATGTGGGATGGAAAAAGAGTTGTTATATCGTATAGTGCACCTGATATTCTTGCTGCCACCAAAAAAGCTTGTCATTTCCATTTAGACATCCCATATTGATCAAAAGTGGTGCTTTTTTACAATGTACCAAATACCAAATATAACGCATGCGATATCTAAGAACTTCATATAACTTGTGGTGAGCACAGAATATGTGCCCATGGACAAACCAGAGCTACAGTTGCTGTTTTTCGTGTACTAATCAAGTTTTTGTCGCTCCATCGATCTGATCACATAAATCTTACCAGTACCCCTTTTGAAACATCTATGAACAGGCTTCTTTCATATGGCACAAACCATTGGTACTCGAAGCTCTCGGTAAACCAACAGGTGCACTCGAAAACAAACTTGATTATTTGGAAGAGCCACTTGGCATGCCCTCTCGCTCCGCACGGGACATTTCAGCAGTGAAGCTAGAGGAGCCAATGGAACTCCAAATCTCCATGTCCATGCGAGATTTGGCCTCGTCCACATGGCTCTCATGTGCTCCAGAAGCTTCCTGCTTCAACTTCACCAGCTCCCCCAGCACTTGATTCATGGAGGGGCGGGAGGCCGCAGGCATGGAGGTGCAGGAGAGGGCAAGGCGAGTCCAGCGCAGCACCAAGTCATCTGGTGCGTCCAAGTAAGGATTTTTGAACATTGCTATGGCAATTGACTCCACGAATGGGGCAATCTGTATGGTTGAAAGGGAACACATGCATGTAGACATACGG